TCGGCGAAAAATCCGCACATATGATTTTTTATGTGTGCTCAACTATGTTTGTGTTTATTATAATTTGTAACACCCCAACCTCGGATGTAGCGCTTCGCTCATTAAATTATTTCTTTACAAAAATTACGTTTTGTAAAAACATCTTCACAATTAATAATTTAATATAATGGATTAATTCTTTTTCGCCTAATAAAATACATTTGTGGTCGTAATTTAAACAGCAGGGTTTAATTGTCTATTTGCTATCAGAGTAGTATAGAACTCTGAAATTTTTGGTCAGGTTTTATTTTAACCAGTGCAGCGTCAACAACGGGTAGTGGGATGTTTGCTTAATAAAGAAGCAAAGAGTTAAACGTAAGTTGTCAGGTCTGATCGGCAAAAGTATAAAGTGTTAACGGTTGTTGACATTTATTGACCGAAATATTGTGTTAAAATAATTGTAGTGAACTTACGGCTGTTAAAAGAAAAGTAAGCCAAATTAACTAAACTTTTAAACAGCTAAAAAAAAGTAAAAGCAAATAAACAAAGGAACTTTAGAATAGCCTTAGTCAGGACCGTATTTATTTGTTATAAATCGTACCATAAAATGTGCTTACGGATTGCAAAAGCTTTCTAGGTACAAGAATGAGGCAGTAAGCAGAAAATTGTCAAATAAATTCTTAGAATAAATCAATTGACGAGCGTAGCTAAAAAGCTGATTTGAATTCAGTCACAAAGCGTAAAACAATCGGAATTAACCAAAAGCTACCACGCAATGCTATATATCCATAATTAGATGATTCAATTCGAATTCGATTCGAGCCAGTCCGAATTTTGTTGATTCTTTTAGGTCATTGAAATGGCTTAGTATTGTATGGAGTATGTATAGTAATAGTAATAGTATGGTAATGGCAATAGCGGTCCCGTTTACTTCGTCGAAAATCATTTCGTCGACACCCATTTCGTCGAAAGTTTGTTTCATCGAAAGTTTATTTCATCGAAAATTGTTTCGTCGACAATCACTTCGTCGACAATCGCTTCGTCGACAATCACTTCGTCGACAATCATTTTGTCGACAATCATTTCGTCGAAAGTTCACTTCGTCGAAAGTTTATTTCATCGAAAGTTCATTTCGTCGAAAATTATTTCGTCGGCTTATGTATCGTACTAATGATAAATGAGGTGATGATAGTGATGGCAACAATATCGACATTGAATATTTTAGCATTGATGATAATTATTGTTTTTTAGTAGAGTGTGTGGATCAGACAAATTGGTAATATTCCTTTCATGTTACATAAATTTGAGTCATTCGTATACTTGCAAACTAATTAGCACTCTGATTTTACCTGAATTTTTCTTTCTTAATTGCAATCATACAAATGCAAATTATACTAATAATAAATAAATTAAATGGTAGTAGTAGATACTAAACAGTGCAATGCATAAGCTACGCTAAATCATTAAATTGAAAATTAGTTTTTGATATTATTAAAATCGTATGATTAAATGGGTCTGACAATCAA